CCTTATCTTCCCCTTGCCCGGTTCGAGTGGAATTGATAAGCCTTATCAGATGGCAACATTATCCCTCAATTAATGCGGAAACGGATCTTGGAACCGCTCCGCGAAACCCGCGAGGACTCAACTATATAAAGGCTCCAACACCAAGGGCACAAGGTATGCGTTATTTCCCTACTCTCTAACTCTCAATATTCTCAGCAATTTTCAGCTCGCAACAAGTTTGCTAACTTAAGCATCGGAGCGACCTCGCCGGGTTAGCCACCTCGGGTTCTCTGAACCTCCTCTTACAGATCAACCTAGTCTGCCGTCCAACTGGAAGCCAGATCACCTCCAACAGGGAGCAACTAGATCACGCTACATCATTTGATGTCGTCTGTGGGAAACACTACAAAAATCTAAGTTCTCATCCTCTGAAAGGCTAAGTCCTCTTCTTCCAGAAAGCTAAGTTCTCATCTTTTAGAAACTAAAAGCTCTCACTTTCTAGTTTCCATTTTTATGAACTCAAAGACTATGCAGGAAGTTGATGGCCAATAGACTAACTCTACCGACTTTATTTTAACTCGGATAAAGCCTCATCAGTCCTCTTCACGAGGTACCCTCTACAAGATGAGCTCTTCGTGGCTTCCGCGGGAGTAGGCGGCCAACAGACTGCATGGACGCCCTTGCCGGTCGAGCCTTCCAAGGCTCCCATGCGAGCTGGTGACCTAAAGTTAGTAGTGTTGCCCCCGCAGGTCGAGCTCCTAGTAGCTTCTTGTAGGAGTGGGTAATCGACATCACTAATGAGGTTGATGCAGCGCAGCCATAGCTCTAAGGTGTCGAGCTAATAAAAGACCTCGGCACCACATAAGACCCAGTCACTTCTTCGGCATGGGCAAAATCAAAGATCAAGGAGAGTGGACTATGAGTCGCTCCCAGAGCCTAAGGGCTAAAGTGTCAAACTGGCAAAGACTTCAACACCACATAAGACCCAGTTGCCTCTTCAGCATGGGCAAAATCAAGGGTAAGGAAAGTGGACTGATAGTCGTTCCCAGAGCCTAAGGAATTGAATCGACGCTTACGAGCTCATCGAATTAGTCATTTCAGGCCAAAATGAGCAATCTACTCCCTTCGTCGAGTTACTTTCAGCTCGGGAGTGGGGGGCAATTTATGAGGGCAGATTTGACCCTCCAATGATATTGTGACACATGGCATCTCGGAATAACTAGATGACACCCAAAACCACTTAATTGACATGCTACTATTTTATTTGAGTGGGGGAAACTATGAAAAAAAAAAGTTCAGTTTTTTCATAATTTTCATAACTATATATTTTTTTTTCAAATGTCAGTCGGGGCAATTGCCCACACTAACTTATACATAGATTTGCCTTTGCCAATACATATCAATATTTTGAACCTTGAGGGGAACGAAATAGAGTTATGAGATTGAGCTATTAAGGATGAAAAAAAAAAAAAACAAAAGGACAGCAAAACATAAAGTTAAAACCCTAAATCCCAAACATCTTGGTCAACATGGAATGGGAAGATAGGTTCATTCTTGTATATATATATTTTTTATTTCTTACCTATTCATTTCTAAAAAATTGACCCCACTTAAGAAGCCAAATTTTAATTGACATGCTATTATATTCTTTGAGTGGGGGCAATTATGAAAAATATTCAGTTTCTTCATAATTTTCATAACTATATAAAACTTTTTTCAAATGTTAGTGGGGGCAATTGCCCACACTAACTTGTACATAGATCTGCCTTGGCATCAGATTATTTTGATTTGAATCAAAAGCATTCTTCTTCTTTTTTATTTGAAGCTCCCTTTATTAGTTAAATATGTAAAATGGACAGAAAACTGTTTTAGACTAAAATATTTTTGTTGTTTTTATCAAAGTTTTGCTTTATTTTTCTTTTACAACAAAACAAAGGGTAAAGTAGTCATTTACCAACATCGTTAATCTATTTAATGTCAACTTACTGACATGGTATTCCGTGGATGTTTTGAAAAGTTATGGCGAATTTAAGAGAAATGTTAAAAAGCATAATGAGTTTTAGACAATTTCCCTATTTTTTTTAGATTTTTTATTTCAAAATAGTGTTTCCTCAAAAAAGCCATATCGACCAAAATTTTGAACCTCGCATATAGGGTTTTCTAATAAATAATAGGGTTATCAGGGTTGAGAGTTTGCTTTATCGGGTCAGTTCTAGGTGTATTGATACCCGACCCGTTGAGGATTAGCCCTATGCCCCCCCTATTATGGTATTAAAGAAATATCAACATAAATACATTAAGTTGGAATGTGTATGAAAGAAGGCCTGAGAAGGCAAGAAATGGAATATAACAGTAAATTTTGCTTCTTTTTCTTTCAAATTACAAGAATGCCACTCTCTACCAACTCTCTCTATTTTTTCCCTTCAAATTACAAGAATGCCACTCTCTCCTACCAACTCTCTATCTCTCTTCCTTTTTTTATTCCAAATTACAAGAATGTCACTCTCTCTCCTACCAATTCTCTCTCTTTTTCTTACAAATTACAAGAATGCCGCTCTCTCCTATCAACTCTCTCTCTTATAAATTACAAGAATGTCATTCTCTCTTGCCATCTCTCTCTCTCTCCTTATAAATTACAAGAATGCCACTCTCTCTCCAACCGAGAGAGACCTCAGCTCAGCATGTCAATTGCTAGGGGACCTGCAATCAAAGGTTGTCAAGCCAAGCTCAAACTTCTAAGCTCGAGCTCAAGTCTCTAATTCGAATCAAGTTCGAGCTAGATGACATCTCAACCACTGAGGGAGACCTCAGTTCGGCACCTTGTCAACTAAAGGAGACCTCAGCTTGACACCTTGCCTACTAGGGAAACCTCAACTCAACACTTCAACAGTTGAGGGAGACTTTGGCTCGGCACCTCGGTTGCTAGGGAGACTTGCAATCAAAGGTCTCACAAGCCTAATCGAGTGTGTACATAGGGTGTCACCTCGGCTCAACACCTTGGTCATTGAGGGAGATCTCGGCTCAGCACCTCGACAACTGAGGGAGACCTCAGCTCAGCACCTTGTCAACTAAGGGAGACCTCAGCTAGACACCTCACCTGCTAGGGAAACCTCAGCTCGACACTTCAGCAATTGAGGGAGACCTCAGTTTGGTACCACAACAATTGAGGGAGACCTTGGCTCAGAACCTCGATTGCTAGGGAGACATTGGCTCTGCACCTCAACTGCTAGAGAGACCTACAATCAAAGGTAACCAAGATCGAATTTCCAAGATTTTGACTTGAGTCGAGCTTGAGCTCGAGCTCAAGTCTCTAATTCGAATCGAGCTCGAGCCTGATAGTTTATGAGCGAGCCCTTGGAGCGCAAGGCCCCCTCCGCTAGTATATATATTAAAGGGAAAGAGGTGGTCTCCCCTTTCGCCAAATGGAAGTATTTCCCTTTTTATATATATAAAATTCTTCATTGAAAATTCTCAAATTACAAGAAACAAACATAATAAATCTTATATATCTTATCTGCCACCTGGTTTTTGGGTTAACGGTTCGACCATCCGGTTCGAATGGACGATCTGTTTTGACAACAAAAATTACAAGCATAAAATTATGGAACTGTTATGGCCACCGGTTTTTGGGTTGACGATTCGACCGTTTGGTTCGAACGGACGACCCATTCTGACAACAAAAATTACAGGCAAAAAATTGAGTGTGTGAGGTCTATTAAGCAGTATCATACGTGTTATGTCATTCGAGCATGTGACTAATACGACCCAAAAATGGAACCATTATGGCCACCGGTTTTCAGGTCGACGGTTCGACCATCCGATTCAAACAGACGACCCATTATGACAATAAAAATTAAAAAAAATAAAAAAAATGACCAAAAACCATTGAATGGGTCCACGGGTCGATGGTTCAACCATTCGAGTCAATGGGTCATTGACTAATTCAACGGTTTTTGGCCAGGGACAAGGATTGGGATAAAACGAAATCAGTTGCTTGGATGGTTCCCAATTAAATAAAAATAAAAAAAGGGCAAAAACCATTGAATGGGTCAATGGGTCGTTGACCGATTCAACGGTTTTTGGCTAGGGACTGAGATTGGGGTAAAATGGAACCGATTGCCTAGATGGTTCCCGGGCCAAAATGTCCATCCGTCCGGGTCAATTGTGGTTTGAAAACCATGTTTTCTTGTGCAATGTTTTTTTTTTCTTACAAGACGATATGCTTTGTCTCTTTCTTTGGTTGCATGTATGTTTAGCTCCATCTCAAAGCGGAACTTTGGACTCGATTTTCTAATTTTTTTCCTTGGTTTTTCCAGTTTGGTGGATTACCGCCAATTTTTGTTCTATGTTTAAGGTCACTTTGCATTTATCTTTCAAGGTTTTGGAATCCCTTGCAATGTCCACCCATCCTTCCCATGACTATGACTACAAAGTTATTTCGTTTAATTATTGACATGTAGAAGAAATGACTCGGAAACACAACCGTTCTGGCCACCAGTTTTCAGGTCGACGGTTCGACCATCTGATTTTAACGAATGGCTCGTTTTGACAACAAAAATAAAAAAAAATTAATAAATAAAAAATGGCCAAAAACTGTTGAACGGGTCGATGGATCGACGGTTTGACCACTCGAGTCAATGGATCGTTGACTGATTCAACGATTTTTGGCCACGCACCGGGTTTGGGGTAAAATGGAACCGGTTGCCTAGACGGTTCCGGAGCCGAACGGTCCTACCGTCCGGATCAATCGGGAGTTCTCAATGTGAAACAAAGACAATTATGAAGTAAAACTCAGATAGTAGAATTATCACTGTATGGTCGTGTTCTTTTATATGAGATGCTTATGAAGCAATATTTAAAAAACAAGCACACCGTGATCTCTTTTAAGTCTTTATATAAGTTTCAAGTACAAATTTGTTATCAAGAAACTATTATCTTTTTTAATATAGCAAATAGCAATGTTACAATTCCTTTCAGCCCTTCAAAGCAGGCCCCTCGGCTAGTTATTATATTAAGATAAAAAAGGCAAGACTAATTAAAGCATCCGAGAGAAAGAGAGTTGGATGCTATGTCCATCTCTCCATGCGGCCCAAACAAAGCAAAGATGCATAAAACTAGTAGCTGCGTTACTTCCTCACTAAGAGGCATCGCTGCTATCGTTGGGGTCGGCCCCAAGCTCGGCCGCTCCATTGCCCGCAAGTTTTCCCACCAAGGCTACACCGTCGCCATCCTCGCCCGAGACCTAGGCCTCTCTCTCTCTCTCTCTGACTCTGTGTGTGGCAATTATATATATTATTATCATTATTGATGATATATAGTTAACGAACCATACAGATAAACTGTCGAGATTTGCGGACGAGATAGCAAGAGAAGAAAAGGCTCAGGTGTTCGCCATCCGCATCGACTGCTCCGACTCTCGAAGCATTCGGGAGGCATTCGAGGGGGTTCTATCTCTTGGTTTCGTCGAAGTTCTGGTTTACAACGCATTCCAGCCCGATTCATGGCATCCCACCAGCTTCACCGATATCCCCATCCAATCATTCAAGAAATCCCTCGCCGTCTGTACCGTCGGCGCTTTTCACTGCGCCCAACAGGTAAACCACTCAACCCTACTGCTCACACCTCACCCATTAATCAAGAACAGAAAATTGTCCTAGCATAAAATAAAAATATATTTGTCCTGGATTTTGATTTCTTTTTATATTTGATTTTCTTTCTGGGATCTGCGACTGTGTGAAGGTTCTGCCGGGCATGATTGAAAGAGGGAAGGGAACTATCCTCTTCAGTGGCTGCTCTGCTTCTGTCAGCGGTGCTGCTGGTTATTCTGAATTAAGTAATAAAACTTGATAAACTTATTCTGTTTCTTCTTTTCAGTTTTACCCAAGGAAAAAGAAAAATGATACTCTTGTATATATAACTTGTTCTAACTTTGAAACCCAAACATACATATATCATTGTAATTCACAGGCTGTGGGAAATTCGCGCTGAGAGGTCTGGCGCAGTGCCTGGCGAGGGAGTTCCATCCTTTGGGCATCCATGTGGCTCATGTTATCATCGATGGTGTCGTCGGCCTACCTAGGTTCTTCTTCTTCTTCTTCTTCTTTGTAACAGACAAGGTGCAATAATAACGCTAGATGGTTTTGGGTTTCAGATCACCACCGACGCCTCATGGTAATACATCTCTGGTTGGGAAGCAACAATGCGGAGGAGGCGGGTCCATGGATCCGGACGCTTTGGCTCAGACGTACTGGCACTTGCACGTCCAGGACCGAGGTGCTTGGACCCAGGAGGTCGATCTTCGATCTCCAACTACAGATAATTCCGGGTATCGTCCCACCTTCTAAGATTCTCTCCTCTATATACATAGATCGATTTCCTGACCCCCTCAAAGTTTATATATATATATAGTGCAATAATAAATGGTGTGGTGCCGCTTCTGCTTAATTATATGCGTAAATGGCGTGTTAAAGAATTTAAAATTCTGAAGTGTAGTGCATTATACTCTCGTTAATGAAAGATTTCAATTAGTATAAAGCTTCCACTTGTAATACTGGGCCAATCGATCAGAATACACCAATGTCAGCTCCGAGCTGACATATATGTCAAATCAGGATTGACACAACTCCACAAAGTTATGTAATGGGTTCTGTAACTTCTGTTCCGCTCACAATGTTTTACAGGTGTACGTACGTAGTAGGTGAATAGAAAGAATAGTAATTACCTGGCATCCTGCTGCGTGCCAGAGAAGTAGTACTATCCCTGGTAGAACACAGATTCATTGGATGTCTGGGCAAGTCTGAATGTTCAATGTACGGGTTCATCATTCTGGATTAAGTCTGAATGTTCAATGTATGGGTTCATTATTCTGGATTGAATCAAGATTAGTACAAATTAATGACCTGACACACAGGAAAGAGGTTTTCTTGTCTTCGATTTGACAGCCTGAGGCCTGAAGTTGGGTCATATATATCAAATGTAGGCGTGGTCTAAATGCTCAGTTCTTCCTACCAACACCACTTATGGCTTATGCAGAGAATCGGAGATGTGGCCTGCCATCATGCAAATAGAGTTTACATCTGCGCCCCACAATGCCCCTACAGCACATCTCCACCTTGTATTGGGAATATCTCCTAATAACAGTACAGAAGATGATGAGACATCACTGAGAGATATTCTCAACATAAGATGGGGATGTGCTGTGGGGCACAGATGTGAACTCATGCAAACAAGCCCCACATCTGGCCCAAATAAATATAATAATAATATTAACAATAATAAATATGGATGAGCCTCCATGATATATAGTTTATAACTAATGTTCTTTGATATTACCAAAATATTAACTTTACCAATATACCTCTTAATGTATCAGACCTTAGAGCAAACGAACAGATCCTTAATTATCATACCAAAATTATAAATAGTGATAGATTTTTTCAAGGGGAAAGGGGTGGGGACAGAAAGGGTGCAACTACTGGCGGGTCATCCAAAGTTCAGATTCTAAAATATGTAAAAATTAATATATCTAGAACTTGAACACCCCCCCCTCCCCCCGGCACCCGATGTTTTGCTGTTGACATGACATACCTTTGATGGCACAAATAAGGGAAAGCATTGGCTGTTGGCTGTTTGAGAACTTTATACACATGACACGTTGCCATGAATGTAGGGCAAGAAAGTGTTTGCAGCCACTCTTTTTTTTTTGGAAAAACCTACACTCATTAATCTTGATAAATAACAACTGATTGATTATCACGTTTATATTCTAGTTGACTGGTGAGAAGTTTTTCAGATATTATATATTTTTTCTATATCATAGTCGAATTCTTTTTTTAGATAAAAATAAAGGAATTAAGTGGGGTAATAATGAAGTTGGATTTTTTTCTTCACAAATTGGTCTTCACAGTACTTGTAGTCACACACTAGGCTGAATTTTAAAGCTACTTTTTCAAGCATATGTGTTTGGTTCCATTTACGTTTATTGAATAAACGCTGCCACATAGGTGCCCTATCAGCAAAAGCCTCATTATGCGCATTCATACATATTACTGTTTGCAAAAGCTAACATTGATTTTTGTATGCCTCCCGTTTCAAAAAGCTTTATTTTGGAGCTTCCTGAAACGGGTAGGCGTTTATTGGCACTTTACTTATATGGTGTCTATGCGTCATAAATGCTCTCATTAATTGCTTTTCTTGGTTTTGAAGTCACACAAATACAAAATATTTACTCAATAAATATAAATAGAACCAAACACCCTCTTTATTATTATGGGAGTTTCACTAGCTAAAATATATTCTTGGTGACATTTTGGCGCCTCTCACATGATGTTCATTCTTGGTGGTCAGATTATCTGTTTTTTTTTTTCTTTCCTAATAATTTAGCCTGATTTTATTGTTTAGGCAAGTAAGTTACTTGCTTCGTGTTCTATTATCTATTTTTACTGATAAGTCCATTGCCATTTAGCTTAAAGAAAACAAAGAAAGAAAATGGATAACAAATCAAATGTATGTCATTGTTACCTAAAACAAAAAAAAAAAGAAAAAAAAAGAAAAAAGATATGAGAAAGAACATATCCATAATGAAAAGCAATATTCTCTAGACATATGTCATTTGGATTTTTGAACATGAAAAAAGCAATGTCGAATTATTGAGAGCCATCTTTGGAGTTTTCATTTTCTGACTTTTTTTTTTTTTTGAAAAGAAATGATCATGGAATATGTTCTTTTTCAGATTTTTGAATGGTAACAATGACATATAGTTTGATTTGTAATGCGTTCTCTTCCATTTCAACTTTCTTATTCTACAAGAATAGTATTCTTCTACCTAAAATCTCTGTACCTCCCAAGGCTACTCAACCTCCCAAAATGCTTTGGTAAGTCATCACATAATGATGAATAGATGTCTTTCATACCAAGGGATCTGTTACAAGCAAACTGAGTGCTTAGGACAAATGCAAATCATGAGGGTTCCATACCCAGTCACCAATATGCGCTTATAGTGCCATGAACTGATGAATACAGTGAATGGAGATGCACCATGTGCAACCTCTTGTATTGCTAGATTTTGTTTTAAATATGGCCTCACACAAAGCACCACATCCAGTTCAAGGCATCAAATGGATATTAACCAACCTTGTATTCTCAGCATTCAAATTAACCTCTTTTGGGCTTTTATGGGTCTGTATTCCTGACCTGGTCCTTATGCCGTTCCATGTTAGGGATGCAACTTTGATCAGGTTAGGCTGGGTTTATGCTAACCCAGACCTAACACTGGACCTTGGGTCTAGGCCCAGAAAAAGCTAATGTCAAATGTCGAGCTTGCCACAACAAGCCCAACCAAAGTTAATCAGAACTTGGTTTAGTTTGAAGGTATCCGTATCTCATTCATATTTTGCACTTCTACCTTTCATCTAAGACTTTGTAACCTAATTCAAAAAATAAAAATAAAAAGAAACTACATACAAATCACAAGTGCCAGTAAGATGGTACATAAAGTTTCATTAATTGGATTAAGTAGGGAACTAATTGCATAATCCTTCAATCCACATTTCAACAATGGAATGTGGAATGTTCCATACGGCTTTATAATAGAGGTGGTCAAGTTGCAGGTTCCATGTTCAAAATGGTCTTTTATTCTTAATTTAGGTTGATTTGGCAGTTGCCTATCTGTAGTTATTCTAGGTCTTTGGATGTGAATACTATTAAGGCACATCTAATGACAATGGTGCGGAGCCGGAAACAGTTTGCTCCGGCACGGACACCACGTATCCGGGCCCGATTTGGCAGACTCTCAACCACCCAAATACTTCCACTCCATCTTCACGTCATAAAATTTACGAGGCAAGACCGCAAGAGAAAGGGCCATGGGCTATATGCAAATAACTAAATTCCTTTTCTAGAACGTAGAGGTCAGGCCAAGATCAGATGGTTGAGAGAGAGAGAATAATAATAAAAGGGATTTTTCATTCCACATTTCCACTTTGAAAGCAACGGAACAACTGACAGCAGGTTGTTATGTTAAGTGGGGGCTATAGAACACAGTTAACAATACAATGCGACCGTAGTCATGTCAAGACTCAAGGCACAATCCGATCAGACGGAGCATTTACTATCAAATAACCAGTTAAAAAATATTCTCACCCAAATCACATTTTAACTACTAAAACTTTACAGCGAGCAACACGTGGCTCAGAGCCCAAGCAAGAATTCCAACTGCATATTTCGGACAGCTCCACCTCCCTCGTTTTCCACCAACAATTCTGGTGAGAACAAGCTTCTGTCATACTTGCCATGTGAGAGTGTGACATGTTTGGTCCAGCACAACAAACCTGCAAAATCAACCAGAAATTAATTACACCTCCCCTACCTTTGTTTCAAACTTTCGACGCCCAAAACAACGGTACCTACGATGTTCACAGACATGTCCAACCTTCTTTCTTCTTCCTTTATTCATTTACTGAGTCTTTGCGAATGTTCGGCTGGACACACCATGCAACAATTTAACAAACCCAAGGAAACTCAGCTTTCCATCAGTATGCCTTATCCAATCATGAAGAACAGCATGGACTGGGACAGAGGGGCTTAGCCCAAGTTCCTGAAACAATAGTTTCCAGAATAGAAAGACCAATCAATATTTTTGTGAAGGGTAAAATCAAATAAACCGAACAAGATTATAACCAAAAAAATTGGAATAAGAAAATAAGGCACTTTTCCTGTTTATTAAAAGGGATTTTCAGTTTAATCCATATTCAAGGTACTCTTCCAAATATCACCCGTCTCTCTCTTTGTATTTAAATACTACCATTTCAAGCTCCTTTATTTACACATGCAAATATTTGTATATTAGGGATGGCAATTTCTACCCTATCGAGTGGGGTACCCACCCCGACAGGGCTGGTTTTTTTTGTTTTAAGGATGGGTTTTGGAATTCTATAACCCGTATGGGTATGGGTACGGTACGGTATTAGGCTAAACCCAACCCTCCCAAACCTGCATATTGTTGGAAAACATATAAAATTTAGGATAAATTACAGATAAGTACCCTATACTTTGGGGTAGTGATAGATAGGTGCCCTGAACTTTCAATTGCAACACTTCGAGTACCCTGAACTCTCAAAAATAGACACATGGGTCCATCCGTTTGTATTCTGTCAGTAAAACATTATATAATGCCAAAAATACCCTTCTCATGTATTTCTGGGGTCATTCTCAGGTAACTGAATGTCACCCCACTATGAAATTCTCACATAACAGATTCAAATTTTTCGATGACGGGTTAAGTATCGGGCAACTTCAGAGCCACTAAAAGCTGCTAAAAGAGTCTTCTAGAGACTAGAGCCTGGTTGTGTACCCTAGTATTGCTTGCTAGAATATCTTAACATATTAACTTTGTTTTACTACTTAAGAAAATGAAAATTCACATACTGAAGCAAGTTCCTCGATCACAATTGCTCTGTTCCCATCCTTCTCAAAAAGTTCATAGGCACAGCGAGCATGTTGCTCCCACCGATCGAGTGCCTCGAGCTGATGAACACTTAATGCTGCTGCACAGAACTCTTCAAAATCCATCCTTCTGTATTGAAGTGCAAGTAGCTGTCATAGAAAGAACAAGTAGCCATACCACTTCAGAACGGTAAACCATCAAATTATAAAGCCAAAAAAAATCATACTAGAAAATTTATACTGTCAATAGTTGAGAATCACCGATCCAAGAAAATCATGGGCACGGGACTCCTTCATTGCATCTGTTGCATTTTTCATCAAGGCCTGTCCAAAACAATATGGTTCAGATATCTTTTATCACTATTACCAACGGCATCTAAAGAATACATGAAAGAAACTGACCGCCTTAATGTTCTCTAAGTTAATACTGTTGTCCTTGTTTGGTTCTAATAGTGCAAACTGTTCTTTTAGATAGAAGAGCTCATCCACAGTCAATGTTTTTGACAGTGCCTGTCATATAGATTCAAATATTAAAAAGAAGCAAGTTTATTAGAACATAATCATCAATTAATCTGCACATAAGGTATTTTCTTGACCAGTCTGGACATGATTAAAGGTTAAAGCAGAAGCTAGAAACTGATGCATTTCAAGATGCCGTGTAATCACGTACAGATATACCTGCACGAAATCACATATCCAAAGGGTAAAAGTAGCTATTTTTTAGCCATGTTTCTGTATATTCCAACTAGTGGACTGTTCCAGCCAACATAGTTCACTGTTTACCTTTTTCACTTAAAAAAAAAAAAAATCCTTAAATAGCATATTAAAAAACACAACTATAATCTTGTAAGAGTATATAAGCCCATATGTGTACAAGTATAATTCAATTTATATTACCAAACAAAGGAAAAGAGATGGCCCTATGTAGAATTCATTGTACATCAAGAAAAGTAAAGAAAAATGAAAGGCAACTATTTGAAGAGAAGGAATAATCTGAATTTTGAAATTGCTTGCATCTCCAAGGATGGGAGCCCCCACCTCTTGGCCTCAGGGTTGAATATTTTGTTCAGTGATAATAGAGAGGTGAAGAAGATAGGAAAGAGGTGGCTGAGAAAAAACAAGTAAAAATGGTTTACTAGGCTGCTTTGCACATAGCACAAATATTGTGAAGCGACATGTGCTTTATGGTTGAAGTGATCAATAGCAAGAGTCTTGTCAAGATACAGCATCCACATAAAAGCCTACACTCTAGGAAGAACCTTCTTTCCCCAAACAAATCCTGAATCCACTCTGTGGCACCTCTAGCCAAAGCAACATAGAAGGTCCATGACATCTTTGGGGAATGGAAATGCATGGCATGGTCAACAACTTCAAGAAGGGTTGTTTCGGTGCAAAGGAGTCCGCTGCCCACCACACACCAATCAAATAAAGCTAAACTTTAAGAGCTGCAATAGGGGTAATCGGGGACCCTCAGGCATAGGAGAATTTATAAAAATGGGACCATTCTAGCCTACTCTAGGTTAGTAGACTAAGAGCTGAGCTGCAAGCGGCACTACAAAAGTTGGAAAGACTCGAGAGGTGGTCAAGCAAAGGGTGAATAGGGATCACTTGTTTTGGGGTCAAATGTAATCTAATGAGTAAGGAAACAGGTTAGATGGCTATTTTCTATCCTAAAGTGGAGGGATGCTTGGCAAGTTTGTACATAGTACATTCTTTTCTTAATTAATAGAAGTTTATGGTTATCAACCTTCTAAAAAAGAAGGTTGATAAGCTGCTCCTCAACCTTCTAAAAAAGAAGCAAAATATTCCATGCTCTCTTTATTTAAAAGGACTCACTCACAAAAGATAGTGTCCATACTACTTCCTTGCATTGGATGAGGAAAAATGCAGAATATGTTATTTCCAACTTGAAAGGAAACTCTATAAAGCCTCAGGTTGAGGGAGCACAGCTTACCAGCACTGGACCAATTATCTTCCCAAAATAAAAATGTAGATCCATTTCCAACCTTGTATTCTGTGAAACAAACATAATTTTATAGATCTTCAAAATGCCCATTCAAAAGCATTGTTAAGTGGAGTTCATTGATATAGTTGCCCCACCATTTGTTCCTCCCCCATATTTATCAATCACCCCTCCAAAGAGCAAGTTCCTTTCTGGGAAATCTCCATAGCTATTTTCCTAGTAAACCTTAATTACTTATATCTCATTCTTCTAAAGCCAAGACCAAGACCTCCAGACTATTTGGGATGACATCCAGTTCTATTTTAACCAAATGGAGTTTTTTCTTTTCACATCATTTCAAAGAAAAGCCCTCTGGATTTTCTTAGGATCTTTTTTTGCTACCAAATTTGGAATTTGAAATTCTTTCTATATGATTTGTAAAAATTCCAATTGTATTTATAACATTACAAGTGTAAATGACTTCCATAGTTAAATTTTCAACTGTTACAACAAGCAATTCATATTCCATCCATCTTGATCTAGTCGAGTTAAAAAAAAAAATATTGTTTTAGAGTGAGCCACTCTCATTAGAAATAAGAATACTAATTTTATGCAATCTACGTGAAACATCTTGGAACCAAAATATTCAACATATCCTGTGATTCATACAGATAGTAACTATGTAGCTCTCTTATTTCGTAACTTCAGTCATCATCAAATGCTGGCCTTGCATTTTCTTAATACGAATTTTAATTTTAGAATGTTACAATGAAAAGGGGACAGATAAATAAATTTAATAAAGGAAGAGCATCAGCCAATGATAGCTAAATTATAGAAACTATGATACATTAAAATAAGGTCATTACCCAATGTTGGTCCCAGCTCTCTGGGTCTTGGGAGGGGTAGACTGGATACAGTCCTAACCTTTGGCTTTTCTTTTCATTTTCTTTCTTTCTTTCTTTCTTTTTTTTTTTGCTTTTTTTTTGCTTTTTTTTTCTGCACGAAGTGGTTGCTCTCAGTCTTGAACCTGTGTTCTCAGGCTTGCGAACCCTAGATTTTACCATTACACCAAGTAATGGCCCCTAGAAACTATGATACATTATTCAATAAAATAAATTGTAACAATCCACTCAATTAATAAAAAGAATACTATGAATCTATCAATAAATAAATAAATTAAAGGAACATTATGACTAAAAAATCATGAAACTATAAAGTTCAACCTCATATTTCAGTCACGCGTCTAAAGACACTAAAAGATAGAAATGGCTTCATGTTCATCAATTTCATTGGATACACACCCTCAGAGCAGCTTTACGCAGAGATGATGAGCGCATATATGCCTTCATGAGTCTGAACATTAGAATGTCCAGAGGTACTTTTACGTCATTATAATTTCTAATCCAAGGATGGCCTGGAAACAAAAGGTGGTTGGTAGCATTATGGAAAATAGCATGAGAAACCGCCATCTTTTTTAAACTTTACAGAGGACGAGGACACTCACTTAGAGCCTGAGCAGCACTCATTCTTTTGCGTGGGTCCTTATTCAATAGACGCTTGACAAAGTCTTTTGCTTCCGGGGATAGAGTAGGCCAAGGAGGTTCATCAAAACTTGGATCAGCTTTCAGAACTGCTCGAAAGATTCCAGATTCAGTTCTAGCCCAAAATGGGCGACTCCCACACAAAAGAATATAAGCTATCACACCGATACTCCAGACATCAGCCTCAGTGCTGTAAGATCTATGAAGAACTTCAGGGGCTACATAATATGCACTTCCTACAATGTCATTTAGCCTTTCATCTGCAAAATACCTGAAGCATTAGAATCTTTCATGAACACACAAATCTAAACAACCAGATTGGACTCAAGGAGATAGACCTCAGATTCAGGACCAACCTGGCTTAACAAAATCCGATAAGCCAAAGTCTATGGCTTTCAATTGCGAGTTTTCATCCTTGGAACTGAAAAGAAAATTCTGATACCAACAAATCACTAAGTAAGATTAATACGAGCGAGCATTTTGTCAGCATAATAAAAGAGGCATTTGAGTGCTCAGAAAATGATAACCAAAAGTTAGAACCTTCATATAGATATAAACAAAGAGTATGCAACTATGGTAAATCTAAAAATAGATGCATGCTTACAGAGTTACAGTTTATTTCACAGAAATGCTCTTTTCAAATATAGCAGAGCAGTTAAGACTACAATAAAGTAGATTTAGATGAAAAACCATGGACCAATTTGGAAGTTATCTCGAATGAAATCCTTTAGACTTGGGTATTTTCCACAGCATAGGTTTGCACAAGTTTGTTACTTAAAATGGATTCAGTATCAAAACATTAATAAAAATTGGAAAGTAGTTCATTTATTTAAATCTTAAATACAACTTCATCTAAATTTCTGTTAAAATTCCAATCATGAGTTCATGTCAAATGGTGAATTTTATTTCAGGTGTTATAAGAACTTAAATGATCAAGAGATTGGATGTATAGGAAAGGGAGATCAGGAGATTATCAAGAGAAGTTGAGGCCACCTTCAAGTGGGTCAGTAGAACAGCAAACTCTATGGCTGACACATTAGCAAAGCGAGGGCTGTCGAGGGATCATTTCTTTGGGCTAATTTGTACACACGAGAAAAGGTGGCTCCAGATGGAAGCCTTACATTGTAACAAGATTTTTAGAGATTCTAGGTTAATGCAAGGTATCAGTTTTTTTTTTTTTTTTTTTTTTATAAATGAAGAAATTTATTAGTCACAGAACATAGGAGATACAAGTGACACAAGAAGAGGCACAAGGTGCGACCTCTTCAGAAAAGCCAAAAGAAGATTCTTAAAACTATTTTGAAAAAGTTACAAGGTAGTCCAAAAAAGACTGTCCCAAGAAACCCCTTGTTTGGCTAATGAATCAGCTATAGCAATATAGAATTTGCTGACGTGCTCACCCATTGGACACTAACAATCATGTTGCTAGTCAGCCAATTCACTTTTCTAAGGAAGTCTCTATAACTCTAAATGGCAGAATCTGGGTTCAGGAGCCACCCCACCACCACCCGTGAGTCACTTTCAATTAAAAGATGCTCTACCCCAATCTGGTTTGTAATCTGAATCCCTTGTATAGCATTAATGCAAGCTATCAGTTACTTATCCCAAAAAACACTTAAATGATCAGGGGCTTGGTTTCAGTGTATAATGTATTATTTTTCTAACAACTCTCTGGTTTTTGCGGCACATAACTAAGATTACATCACTCCCCCTCAAGTTGGGGCGTAGATATCAATCATCCCCAACTTGTCACAAAGATTATAGTGCTGCATGGAGTTTAACCCTTTGGTAAGGATGTCTGCAAGTTGTTCCTCAAAGCTGATGTAGGCAGTGCAAAATTCTCCTTTTTCCAATTTTTTTAATGAATTTTTCCTATTTATTTATTTTATTATATTTTTCTCCTTTTTCCAATTTTTCCTGATGAAGTATTTGCCGACCTCTATTTGTTTAGTTCTATCATGGAGAACAGGATTGGCTGCAATGTTGATGGCCCCCTTATTGTCACAATAGAGTGACATAGGGTCACTGAGAGGAAAGACCAATTCACCAAAGAGATTATTTATCCATAGTAGTTCTGCCACACTATGAAACATGGCCCTGTATTTAGCTTCTGCACAAAATCTGGCCAACACACTTTGTTTCTTACTCCTCCAAGTAACAAGGTTTCCCCCAACAAAGGCACAATAGCCACTAGTGGATTTTCTATCATCCACAGAACCAGCCCAATCTGCATCAATGTAAACCTCAACTCTCATATGCCCATGCTGCCTCTAAGTGTGTGGCCCTGGGAACATGCATAAACTGACCAAGGACTCTCACTGCATACGCAATGTCAGGTCTTGTCATAGATAGGTAGAGAAGTTTGCCCACCAATCTTTGATAATGCTGTGTCTGCTATGGGCTCATCACTGCAATCCCCAAGCCCGTGATTTACATCTATAGGAGTGTCAACAGGTTTTGCTCCAAGCTTCCCCGTATCTTTCAAGAGATCTGGAATATATTTCCTCTGGGAGATGAAGATACCCTGATTAGAGCGGGCAACTTCAATTCCAAGGAAATAACGTAAAGGCTCCAAATCCTTCATTTCAAATTGAGTAGCCAAGAATCTCTTCAATCTCTGTATCTCTGAGTCCCAATGATGATAATAATGTCATCGACATACACAATTAAGGCTGCCATTCTTCCTTGTTCTCTCTTCACAAAGAGTGTGTGATCAAACTAGCACTACATAAAACCCATCCGTTGAACTGCCTTGTGGAACCAATTGAACCAGGCCCTTGGAGATTGTTTTAAACCATACAGAGATTTTTTCAATCTGCAGACCTTCTGCTCATTTCCTTTAGCACAAAAACCTAGAGGTTGGATTATGTACACTTCTTCTTCTAAGTCACTATTCAGAAAGGCATTTTTAATGTCCAGTTGATGAAGCTCCCAATCTAGATTTGCTACCAAAGAGAGAACTCAAATAGAACTCATTTTTGCTACAGGTGCAAAGGTTTCCGCATAATCAACTCCATACACCTATGAAAAGCCTTTTGCAACTAACCGGGCCTTTCCCTCAAGAAGATCTACCAACTCCCACGTGCCATTTTTGTGAAGGGCATTGATGTCCTTCATTGCATCTATCCACTCAGGAACAAGTAAAGCTTTTGCAACACTCATAGGAAGGGAAACACTATCAATAGCAAAGATGAAAGCACGGAAAGAGGGTGAAACATTCTCATAGGATAAGGAATGAGCCATTGGGTGGTGTGTGGTGCATGATCTGACACCCTTCCTCTTAGCAATAGGAAGATCCATATCACAATTGGAAGTGTCAATTAGGGATATCAACTCATTTTCAAAAAAAAAGGGATATCAACTGGAATAATAGTACTTGGATGCGGTGATGGATTCAACCCCAGAGAGTCTGATGGCATAGGTTGCACAATTTCAGGATGCTCTATGCCTATTGAACTTTGTTCACCCCAGCCTTGACTTTTGCACCGCTGTATATGAAAGACCCGAAATGGAGGAGGGTCAGGAGGAGAAGGCAAAAAAACGTGTCTCTGTTTCTCCTCACTTGGACTCTCCACTCTCCCCTTGAGGAGAAGCAAGAAAGAAAGACACATCTTCAAAGAAAAAAACATCCACGGATACAAAGTACTTTTTGGAAATGGGATCAAAGCAACGATAACTTTTTTGGGAAAGGGGGTAGCCAAGGAAAACACAACGATGGCTTTGGATCTTGTTAGACATTGTATACCCTTAGCTCCAATCAGATTGATGTACATATACATTTATTGTAATTGAATAAAAGTACATAACTGTTTCATGTTATCATTGGAGAATAGAGAGACTAGAAGAAGAAGAGGAGGAGAGAATAGAGAAGAAGAAAATTCTGGTTCGAACTAGAGAACATAATTCTCTCTCTAAGAGGGTGAGAGGGTGAGGAACTGAGATGGGAGGGAAAATGAAGGGGATAGAGTTCGTGCAGACAGGTCAGTGGAGGAGATCCTTGAAGATAGAAGCAAAAAATCTCTTGTTCGAAGAGATGAGAATCAAGAGGAAGGTAAGCCTGAAGGTAAGGGAAGCAAAGAAGGGTACAATATTGCTGGAAGGATTAGAAGTGATAAAGTGGCTAAGAAAGTTCATAGCTGGAGCCTGTTCAAAAGGTAAGCAGATAAATTGGCAGGATTTTAGTACACTAGAAGGGAGAAGATATGTTGTTGAATGTAAGAGGAATAGAAAGGGGTGTCTACCAGCAGGAAAACAGAACCAAGGTTGGGGGGAAGTTGACTGGTTGCTCAAAGAGTAGCAAATGAGAAAAAAGCCTCCATAAGGGAGGAGAAGACTTATCTCAACAACAACAGGGTACAACAAGGGCCAGTGGTCATGGCAAAAAYAAAAGGCCATTGCAGAATGGTGGGAGGTCTAGAGAGAGAGGAGTGGGATAGTAAGTTTGTGATACCAGCCAAGGAAAAGGTTAATGATTGGAGGAGGGTAGCTAACTTACTGGCAACCAAGTTGAAGTTGAAGAGTGTTTTCATAGTAACCCCCTTCGATAACTGTAAAGCCATCCTAGACCCATTAGAGAATGATTTGGAAATATCAGCTATCAATGTTCAGGCTGAGTTCGGATCATTCACAGTCTTCAAATGGAATCCAACATCCAACTCCAAGGATTTTTTTGTYGAAGATGGTGTGGTGGTGCGTGTAATAGGCTTGCCATTCCATCTATGGAAACAAGAAATAGTAGAGTCTATAGCTGTGTTGTGTGGAGGAATCTTGAAAGGTGCTTTTTGGGGCGATCTCTATTCAGTAGCAATCCTGTTAAGTGGTGTGAAGCCAGAAGAAATTCCATGGAAGGTAGAGGTATGAACAGAGGGGAGCTTTGTCTCTGTGTGGTTAGCTTCCTCCATTGAAGCAGGGTTGTGGAAGGAGGCTCGTTTGGTAGGAGGGGAGAAGGAGGAAGAAGAAGCACTACGTGGACTTGTGAGATTGGGTAATTCAAATGGGAAGGGATGTTTCACTAAAAAGGGCCAACAAATTCTGGGAAGCCAAAAAGCTTTGGGGCAGTTGGAAGGTCAAACCTGGAGAAAGCAAGAAAAGGTTATGACAAATGGCAGATCCTTTGCACAGGTGGTGTCAGGGGAAAAAGACAAAAAGCTTCTAGTGTCGAAAGGGAGAGGGCTGAACTAGCAACCTCAAATAGGGAAGGTTGCTGGTTCGACCATTAAAACAGGGGGGCGTAACTCTTTAAGTGGTCACGTGGGACGAAAAGAAGGGCCCAATCGAGTGGATTCCTTTTATGGTGGGCCGGAGAAGGCATCTCAAGTAAAGGCCTTAAAGTTGGGCTCCTATAGTCTTGAGCCCAAGGCCCATTATAAGACAGATGGGCCGAGGGACATGTTAAGTGAGCACGTGACTGGGAGGAGGGATGAGTTGATAGACGA